TTTGTTGGTCAGGTACGAACCCACTACCAACTACCAGTGATTTTATCCACTGTTTTTATGTGTGTATAATGTTAGTGTATGTGGGGAACACGATTTTCTTTACCTAATTAGAAGCTTAATAACTTCTCTTCCTTTTGTTGAATATTTCTGAAATTTTGCAGGGAGGTTTGTGTATGTATTAGGGAGAAATGTTATAACCCGATTTTTCAGAAAATTTCTAATAAGTTCGAGAGATATTAAAGGAAATGGAGTCATATCTCAAAAAGTTTCAGAGTAAGGAAATTCTTTTACTCGTACCAAATTTTTGCTATCCAGACACATAAAATGGTGTTTTTTTTATAATTTTTGACAGAATAAATCAATTGAGTTTTAAGTTTTTCAATATTTATATAATTAATTATGTTATTAATTATAATTTTTATCCAAATAAAAACAAAAAATCTTCATACGTTGAAGAGGGGAGGATAATATTTTTAAAATAGTTAAATGAGTAATCATACTTATTAGCAATTTTACGGACAAAAACAAGTAAAGAATTCCGGAAAAATCCAGCAACAAAGTGAAAACTTCGAATACTGGTCTTAATTTGAAAAAAAAAAAAAGGGGAATTTAGTAATATATTAAAAGTGCAATACGAACTTTCAACTATTGATTATAAAAGATATATATACAGTAGAACCTCGAAAACTCGGCCTAATGTGGACCGAAGGGTGGCCGAGTTTGTGAAAATGCCGGGTTATCGGGAATGGGGTTAAAAAAGGATAAATATGCGTGTTTCCTCTACTGTACTGTACTTGTATGTATTGTTTGCTTGAGAATACAACAGAGAATAAACTGCCCAAATACCCTTAAACAAAGGAAAAGTACGTCCTTTATGAAGGCATAGAGCCTTTACTACACGAAAATGAAAATTAATGAATACACTGTGTAAAGTAATTTACCTGATAAGACAGACCTCAGAAAAATACATTATGAGAGCTTTTATACTTTTATAAAGCTGTCTATAATGAAAATTAATTAACTAATGATTTTTTTGCCCTGCCAGGGTGTGGCCGAGTTATACGGAGTGCCGGGTTATCGAAAGCCGAGTTTTCGAGGTTCTACTGTATATATATAATCCAGACAGCGGGAGAAAAAGTTGTTAAAGTACTGTACTGTACTGTACAGTACATACCCTACAATTTAAAAAAAAAAAAAAAAAATTCGTATGATGATAGGTTGGCTCACGTGGGGGACACAATTATTTATAAGATTCGGAGAACAGTCAGGCAGATTATTATTTGTGTGTGGCCTTGGTGGAGGAGAGTTTATTGAATAAGAAGAGAGGGGTGGATTTGAATGACGCAAACTCGGGATCGCGTGCAATGTCTGCTGTTTAAACAAAAAGTTTTTATAATTACTGTAAGTATATTTATGCATTTGTACTTATAATTACTGTAATTTAGCTGTAAATTAACTTGTAATGTGATGCCTTGGTGTGTCGTAAATGACAGTTATTCGTATAAGATATAGTGGTTCCGTGACACAACCAGAAACTTCCAATAAGGAAGCAAAACTATTTGGGGTTTTTATTATAAAAATAATAAAATAATTACTTTTTACTTTCCCGGCTGTTATACATAGTAGGGGAAAAGTGTTATACATAGCTGTTATACATAGTAGCTGTTATACATAGTAGGAGGGCTGTTATACATAGTAGGGGGATACATTATTCAATCGGTCAAAAACTGACTCCCCAACACTTACTTTATGGGACCCAGGGGGACCTCGAAATGTCGAGAAATGCAAAAAAATAATTCTGAGGCAATTTCTGTATGTTTATTCTTGTTTTTTCACGTCACTATTTCGAAGTATTAGGTGCAATTTGTATTCTCCAGTAAACACAGGATGTTAGTGTGTTGACGGCCGGATGGTCGAGTGGTGAAGGTGGCAGCCTACCGCTCTGGGTGGGGCCTGGAAACGAATCCGGGCGGGTCAAAAAATCCGCAGGAATTTTTCGGGGGGTTGTCCGCTAGGATATGACGTGCCCCGTCCCTCACTACCTGGCAGCTCCATTGTGGGCCTGGCCAAACCAATAATGGGCTTGCAAAAAGAGGCTCCTTTAGTTCCCACAGGGCGTAAAAAGTTATAAATAAAAAGAAAGATGTTAGTGTGTGGGGAGAACAATTTTGTTCACCCTATTTGAAGCTTAATAACTCTTGTGCTTTTTGTCAGGTTTGTGTACTGGGGGATTGATGCTATTCAATTTTGGTGATTAAAGGTAGAGGGGATGGAGAGATAAAAGGAGTCTTATATATCTCCAGTAAGATCGGAATTAATGTCGTTTTTACTCGTTATTAGCATTTACGATATTTTATAAAACCCATCCCTACCTTTAAAATTAAGATTTTTGCCATTTTATAATAATTAAAAATATTTAAAAATTTAAAATAAAATATTATAACAAATGGTGCCACCAAATGTTGCCGGGAAAGTTACGCAACTCGTTGCTGGATTTTTTATAATTCTATTTGTTATATATTAAGTGATCTTGTGCTGTTTTTATTGTTATTTTTTAACTCTTTAGGATGTATAATAACATATTTCACAATTGCCATTACGCTAGCTACTAAAATAATATATGTTGATGATATGCAAATTAGAAATATTTAGTTTATTCTCGTCTTTTCACGTCACTACTTCGAAGTATTACATACAATTTTTATTTTCCAGTAAACACAGGTTTATTTTCTAAAGGTAACTGATGTATTAAATGTATGTATTCAAATAAGATAAAAATAGTACATCAAGTATTTTTCTAAAAGACTTTTTTCAAGGAAAGTTTTTTCCCGTTTTATGAATATTAATATCCGGTTTAACCATTAACTCATCGTGTATTTTAAATATAAGAAAAATTACATTTAAACTATTAATAATGTCGAGTTCATATTAAAAGCTGTTCAAATGTATAAATTTCATATTCGCTTCCCCCTGTAAATCAAGGGTTACCATGCATTTCTAGAACATTATTCAAAACTCATTGGAACTGTTTAAAAAGAAAAAAACATTAAAGCGAGATTTCGAATATTATAAAAATTTCGAGTGATTTCACACACAAAAAATGACACCGCAAAAAAATTATGTTACGTTCTCTCGTGAACATCGGTGTGAATTGAACATCGAATAAGAATCCACCGAGCAAGTTAAATTTGATCGCGAGTTCACGGCCCTCCAACGGAACTAGCCACGTGGAGTATTCTGGTTTTTCTTCACGTGCACAACATCTAAAATTTAGATGTTGTGCACGTGAAGAATTTATTGAAATATTTAGATTCTAAATATATGCCAGTTTCCCCGTAGAAAGTTCTTTTGGTAGACATACTCTTGGCAAATTGCCCCTTTGTCGTGTTGCTTATCCGATTAAAATATAAACGTGGACAAAGACAATAATAAAATTAATTGAAAACAATACGTCACATTTCGCATACGTCACGTTTGTTTATGAATGTTCATTCCGTTCTATAATTATATTATCGAAATAAATCATTTTATTAATAATTATATATAAAGCTAAATAAACCATAAATACGACTTAAAATTTTATTTAATGGCGACAGAAATAGTAAACGAGCGTTTTTTACTACTGTGACATCATTTTAGTAGACACGAGATACTCCTATTAAAGCTGGCTCTTCTTGAAAAACTGGTCGACCGTCGTAAACCAGATTTTAGTTTGATTTATATTTATGTTTTCATTTTTAATGTTATTTTTAACAAAATCTGAGAAATTTTTATGGTAATACCGGGGCATGGAAGTTATTCAGATACTCGAAAAAGAAAATAATGACTATTGTCAACAGGTAAAATTAGCTTAATGATTCTAGCATGAATCCAGCTTAGTAGATTCATGTCACAGGTTCGAGGCCAGCTCGATTCAGAAATTTTCCTTGGAGGGGTTGGCTCGAATATGTTAGATTCCATCCCTCACTGGATGGCCGAGCGGTCAATATGGCAGACTACCACTCTAGGAAACCCGGGCGTGTCGAGAAAGCTTCAGAAATTTATCGTGGGTGGTCCGTCTAAATATGTCGGTCCCGTCCCTCACCACCTAGCCGCACCATTATGGTCCTGGCCGAACCCATAATGGGCTTACTAAAAGAGGCACTCTTAGAGCGCATAGAGCTGAAAGAGTTTAAAACCCCTGCCATTCTATTGTGAACTCGATCGAACCCATGAATAGTAAGGAAAATGGTTCTTAGTGCTTACAAGACTGAAAGATTTTTAAGAATCCATAGCAAATGGAAGAGGTTTCAGTATCAATCAACGAAAATGGCTGGATGATGAAGAAGAGTGGCATAGGTGTCTCTGCCTGATTTTCTGATGGATTGTAAAAGCTAATCTGCTACAGAATAGTCTACCAGAAAGTGTACTAGCGCCTTTACAGCCTCGACCATTTCAACACGAAACATTTTCTTTTCAGACTTATATATAATACAAGGGGAAATTATGGCGATCGGTTAGAAATTCGGAAAGAACCCCTCACATTTTTACATTTTTGAACTCAAGGAACCTTGAAATGTGAAAAATGCAAAAAAATTGTTCACTCTGAAGCTTAATAACTCATGTGCCTTTCGTCGAAAATTTTTGAAATTTTGCAGTGGGTTTATTAGGAAATTGGTGGTGTTAAATTTTGCTGATTAAAGGTCGAGGGGTTGGGAGATAGAGGGGATTATGTGTCATATCTTGAATAGGGTCGGACATAATGATGATTTCACTCGTTATTAACATTTACAATCTTTTTATAAAACCCATCCCTAGCCTCAAAATTGAGCTTTTTTCCATTTGATAATAGTAGTTAAAAATATAAAATTTTTAAAATAAAATATCACAACAGATGGCGCCACCAAATGTTGCCGGGAAACTTAAGCAACTCGTTGCTAGATTTTTGGTTATTAATATCTTTTATAAAATAAGTCAACTTTATATTAAAAATAACTTTTTATTACTCATGAAATATGTCCGTATACTTTTCGGTTATAAATTCAATGTTCACGTTATAGCATTTCTTCTTCCAATCTATACGAAAGTGCTCTTTTAATTTTGGAAATTTTCTTTTTAAAATGTCTATGTTTAGGTCCTAATATCTTATAATATTTCATTTTGGGAATGAAAATCGGTTTTTCAAACTCGATCCTCATAGGAATACCACTAGACACTATAGAGATCACTACCAGTCTCTCTTCACTCAAGATTTTCATCAAAATAAATATGATATTAAGTGAAACAGATGGAAACAAAGTTGACAAACGGATAAAAGTATTAATCTGTGAGATATTTATATGTGTAATTTCATGGCTAAGATCTTTTCTTCTTATATTGATACATTTTTGAAAGTATATTGCTAGTCTTCTCTCCTTTCCTCTTTTTATGTAATTGTAAATTATGCTTAATATAATGGCTGATATTAAAAATGCAAAAAACAGAAACATTAAATTAGAATCATTGTGGTGAATAGAAGAATATTTCAAGGATTCATAAGGATTGAATTCAAATTTAATACATTTTCCATCCCTGGAAAGGAAATATTTTTTAATTACATAAAAGAACAAGTGTGCTCTTAATACTAATCAAGTATGGAATATGTTAACAATCATGTAATAACTATGAAAGATGGTTTTTTTTATACTCACACATTACAGTAGCCCGTTTTATTCATGCAATATTCTCCTAATCGCTTTATCGGAACTTCTTTGTACAATGGTTTAGCCAACAGATAAAAGGAATTGCATATGTTTTTATACACGCAACAAACATGGCACGCATAAAAATCATCGGTACATTCGCAATCCTAAAAGCATTTCTCAAATTTTAAGTTTATCCCTTGAATAAATTACTTATTCTCTACTTACCAATAATTCATGTTTGAAGCATATGCTTCCGTTGCAGAAACTATGGTAACAAAACCTTGAGTTTCCTGCACACAGTTTTCTGTGATACGAAATACTGGGTTGTTTGCAATCTGAAGATTTGCCATTACATATCTGTGGTTTCACGCATTCATTAAGGTTACTTGTACAAATTTTCTTGTCTTCTCTCCTAACATATTTTCCATCTTTGGTGCAGCATACTGATTCTCTAGGACTACAAATCTTATTTTCGCTACGTCGTAAAGAGCATGGTTTATCTGTGCCGTTTCCGTCTGAAGGGGTACAGCTGGGATCGATACTATCGCAAATACTCCTATCCCCGCAATCACATTCTTCGCCTTCTTCTGTAATCCTATTACCACAAACGGCATCGTCCTCCTTCCTCAAACACCAACTTCCTAAACATATACTGTAAGTATTAATAAAATTTCACTTTAATTGAAACAATATGACTCACCTCTTTCGTGAATAATCCCAGATATAGAATCGATGCTATAATTTGAAAGAGTCGTTTTTGTCAAATCTAACATGCCAAAATGTGGATCCATCAAAAAATTCTGACCTTTTCTATTGGCATTCGTGTGGGGTGCACCGAAAGCATGAGCCACGCCGTGAGCAAATAAGTAAGATGCTTCAATTAACGGTCTTGCAAATGGACCGTATTTTCTTGTGGTGATAACAACATTTCTCGAACGAAATGTCCTTCTTGAGTTCATACAAATTCCATTATTCTCGGAACCACCAAAAGACGCTACAACACTCTTATCGCTTTCAAACGATTTGAAGAACAGAAAATGGACTAAGCAGCAATCGTTTTCGTAATTTTCTGCACTTTTCAGGTATTTCTCTATGTCTGTACTATTATTTATGTTTCTAAATGGATAGAGAGTGGATTGAAAATCTTTAAATATCGTAAATCTACTCGCTGTAATACCTATATTATCTCGTTGTCCATCTCTATTAAAATCGAATTTAGAGAAGAACCTATCCGCAGCGGTAACTAGAAAGAGCATTTGTTGAATAATGTCTGCTTCGTTAGAGTTATCCTTATCGTATAAAGATATATCACTAACCATATCTAAATTGCATACCGTTCTCTCATTCGAACTTTCGAACGTTCTTCCCGCATCGTGTGCAATCTTTAAAGATTTAATCTTCCAGTTTGCTATACTTCCACATTTTGAGCCATTATTTTCAGATAAAATTATAATATCTGAACTTCTGTAGACAATTGCATCAAAATTTGTTTTATTTTTTAAATATTTACTGGCAAGTTCCACATTAAACGTCTCCTCTTCAGTGACGATGATGCTCTGAAATACATTCTTATTGAAGAAACCTACAACAAAAGAATCGCGATGGCCTACCAGCCATCCAGTGTAGACTTCTATTCCTAAATTAATCAGATTTTTCATTGTAACATTGTTTCTATTGTGGATATAAACAGTGGCATCCGCAGACAAAGTCGAACGGTAAGCGACAACATGAAAGAATCTATGGAAAGCCATAAATTGAAAAGTTATCTTCTTCTTCCAGGTCAGTCTGGAATAATGTATATCATTTCTAGAAATCGACTTCGAATTAATTAGTCGAAAAGGTTCGTATCTTCTGAAAATTGGAATTGGATATTTTCTAAATGTTTCAACGTCTTCGCCATACATTACAGAAAATACCAGTAAACCGAACGTAAAGCATAATATCATTACTCCAGTTCTTACTCAGAAACGAATTATATTTAAAAAATAGCTTCTGGTTCGGTTAAAATTCGAAAATTTAGATAAGTGGAATTACATTAACACGTTCGAAATTTCAAATAATTAATCATTTAAAATATGATTACTAAGTATTAATTAAAAATTGAATTATTAGAGTAATTCTAATCAACCCGAAATTATTGACAATGTAAGGAAGGGGTTTGAATGGTGGACAGCTTCAAGTTCACCATTTATGCCAGTTGCTTAATTTTTCAGTAATGTATTCTGCCTTTCACTTTTTTTAATACTCTTTCTGCCCTGTGGCACTAAGAGGGCCTCTTATAGCAGACCCATTATGGGTTCGGCTAGGCCCACAAGGGGGCGCCCGGGTAGTGAGAGATGGGGTCCGACATATTCGAACGGTCCACCCCCCGAAAGATTCCTGGGGATTTCTTGACCTGTTCGGATTTGATCCCGGGTCCCCCAGAGAGGTAGGCTGTCACCTTGACCGCTCGGCCATCCAGCCTCTTGCTTTTCACTATATCCCAGTACTCCATTCTAAGTTTTCTTCTTATCGCTTTTCTCTTTGCCATTCCCTCAATATTTTCATCCATTCTGAATTCCTTAATGGATGCCCTATCGTGTTGTTTCTTCATTTATAGTGTCAAAAATGGTTTTGATTTTTCTGCTCCCTCTAAACCTGCTCGTTGGTCAATTTTTCAGTCTAAGCTACTTTCTACATTCTCCTCCAACGCCACATTTTAAAGGCCTGTACTTTCCCCCCTCAATGTCCATTAGCAACTAGCAAGACCCTTTGTTAATTAAATAATACTTATATTATTAACTAATGAACAGTAGTTTTACTATCACTCGGATTAAACGAAATTCCTGTCGTACTTTTTGTATTTTTCTACTCCAAAATATAACCTAGGTGTGAAAATATATTCTCAATATCTACACTACTTTACACTTGGTATCACACATGGATGAATAATGATTAGTTCGATGAGAATTTCCTCTTCCTACTGTATTTATACAGAAATGATATTCTTATTAAATTCTGGTTAGATCTATAATTTTACGCATAGTTAGATATTGAATCCAATGTTAAGTAGGGTTTGTGTAGAAAAGATTGAACGATACTTCATAGTTAAATCTCTTCTCGATGTGTTCACTACACATTTATTTAGTATTATATCAGGTGAGTGAACAGTTTAATTTTGTTCGAATTCTCTTATTCGAGTAGATTTCTTTTAAAAATTGTTCATTTTCAAGACGTTCGTTTATTTTTAGTGTTTAATATTATAGTTTTGCTCCCATGTTTGATGAATTTAAGTAATAGAAAATGATTCCTGGCATTGTAAATATGGGGGTTTTCAGCATTTTTATATCATTAACAGTCAATTTTTGATATAAATTTTAAAAAATGTATTAGTTTTACGTGAAACAAGTAAGATTAAACGTAATGAAGTGAACCAAGAATAGATATTATTCAGAGCATAAAGAATACTCACTAAAATCTATCAACGTTTATAATAATAATGTAACTCATATCATTTCTTTAAATTCAATGAAGCGTAATATAGGCCTTCCAGTTTCAATTTTTTTTTCTATTATTGATTGCAAAATCTAAAAAATTACTTCCTTAAATTTCTTTGAGTGAATAGATAAATGTTGCAGCCATTACCATTCGAAGTATGCTGGCCGGATGACCCAGGCGGTCGAAAAACTCCAGGAATTTTTCGGGGGTAGGGGACCCAGCGTAAACACTCGGCCGTCCTATAATAGACTGGTCGAACCCACGATGGGCCCGAAAAAAGGCACTGAAAGGGCCTTTTTTCGGGCCCATCGGAATGTAAACAAATACTTATTCAAAGAATGGTTACAGATGTCCTGCCGATACTAAATTGGTTTGGTTTGATAGAATATGGTAACGCAACATTTGATCAATCGGCCAAGAAGATGTCTTTCGGGAGGACTTTCTATTAGAAACTGGATAGCAGCATTAGTAATAAGATTAATGGTATATTGCACGAAAGTTTTATAAATACACTTTAATTAGAACACTATATAAAAAACCAGACACGCTAACGAACAGGTATTAACAATCAATCTGCATGAATTTGATCCAGATTATATATGCCTGGAAGCGAAGATCTTGCATTAATTAAGAGTAGTAAGATATTATAGTTTTAAGTTTAAAGTCTATTATATTCTTTTAAAATTGTTTAATTAATTGTTAATTATTAATATTAGTAGATACAAGATGGCAGCCTAACAGCTTACTTTTAAATCAAATTAGTTTAACCTAGCCCGAAAACGATCGAACGTTCAGTTTTAGTCTATATTTAAATTTTGATGTAACACTACTATTTAACACTTTCTTTTGTCATTTTAAAACTAAACACTAAGAAAAGTTGAAAATTGAAAGCGTGGTGAGTGCAACAACCGTTAAAGGTTAATAGGTTAATGGGTCGTTCTCACATCTCCGCTAATAGCCGTTACTTTCCTCATTTTAAAACTTCATTTCTACAAAAAGGTCGAGATTAAAACATAAATAATAATAATAATAAATAAGTTATTGTTTAATAAAATCGTTTCGCTAATAATACAATTAAAATACTAATTATAAATCTCGTGTTTATATCATTGATTTAGGTTAGTTATAACCGATTACTTTCAAGGAAACCAAACAATTTCAGTGCTGCCAACCGAATCCTGTCTAGTTAAAATTTTTCAGCTTTTTTCCTCATTTTGTTCGGTTTTCATTGTCGTTTATTTCTGGTACCTTTAAGTAACTTCCACTTTAAGTCAGCTAAATTTTAAGATTATACCTGTACGTCATCACCTTTTCGAGTACGTAGGTAGAAGTGTCAATCACATCTTCGTGGGTCGAGTTGCCAGATTTGGCGACTAATTTTAAATTGATGACTCAAAGGACTAAATTGCGTTTAATTATTTAATTAACATATATGCAATTTTGCATATATGTTAATTAAATAATTAAACGCAATTTAGTCCTTTGCCAGTTTTTTTCGGAATCAATGCCAGACGACGGCTTATTCAACGTTTTGAAGTTGACAGGTTTGCAATTGATCCAGTTTGTTTCATTTCCTTGAAGGTAAACAGTTTTTTTTTTTACTTTTTTTACTTTTTTTTATAAAACACAATGCTATGAAAAGTCATTATACTTGTGAAATATCTTGAAAAATTCTGACTGTGTTTTTTTTAAACTCTTTTCTACCCTGTGGCACTAAGAGGGCTTTTCTTAGCCAACCCATTATGGGTTCGGCCGGGCCTACAATGGGGCGGTGGTGGGAATGGACTACTTTCGAAATCTCAGGGATTTTTCAACCGTTTGGATTCGATTCCTGATCCCCCAAATTATAACTGGTATGCGAGATTCGAGACGTTATGAACACGGAGTAATTTCGAAGTGATATATACTCTAGTACGTCTGTTTGTCTGATCGTTTAATAAACTTATAAATTTCTAAGTGATTTTCTAGTTTTCTGATTATACCAGATCCGTTTATTCGTGTTTTTCCGTATATGTAACTTGTATAAAATTAAAATATTACATAAATCACAATTAAATTTGAAAAAATGTTTTAGGGTCATATTATCCCTTAAGGGGGAGCTGAAGTTCTCGAAAGTAAAACTTCGTTAACAATAAAAATTTGTAGGTCATTGATGAATACTTTGAACTTATTGTTCGTCTCTGTCTGATAAATTAAAATGGGCCCAGATTAATTAAAATTTGGATTAATGTCTTCCTTAATTAGTATTTACGTTCGTAAATAGATGTCGCTACCTATTCGTATGTTTTACCTTTCATATATCCTATTTTAATAAATATTATCCGGAAAAGTAGTGAAAATCAAGCTGGAATGCCTAAAACGTAGCGTCAGGATTTCGATATGGCGCAATGAGAATTGTCTGGCTAAATTAGTATATGCCCAAAACACATAAATACGGAGATTATATCTATTTTAAGTATGAATCGACACTTACAGACAGTAAAAATAAGGAAGCACGGCCGTTCGCGTGTTCTTTATTCATAATTTTTAAGCTAAGTTACGATATATTGACGTATTAACATAATACTCGGTGCACGGACATCCGGAAGGACGAACGAATACTGTATTTTTAGAAAATACAGTATATTAATTGAGATTTTAAAAGTTTATTCAAAATTAGTTGTAATAAACATTTGGAAATAAATTATAAGTACAACGGGTCGCATTAAAATGGCCGTTTTTGGGGGGGGCGGCCACGTGGAGTTTACCGGGTTTTTATCGCGTTAAATGTGTGCTAAACTGTCCATATTCAGTTGTAACAACACCTAAATATGGGCAGTTTTCTCATAGAAAGTCCACCCGGGAGGCATCCCCCCTCGGCAGCGGCATTCACACTTCACAAAGTGCGTTCGCCCATTGTCACGCCTGTTTCATCGATTTCTTTTTATTATACGAGTAATGTTATTGTCAACGCTTTGACATTTCATTAAACATTATTATTTTAAGTGCATTTCAATGTTGTCAATAGAAATCACGTGTCGATAGAAAGCTCATAACTTCCTCCTTATCCAAATATTTGAATAAATTGTACTGTACGCCAAAGTAATAATAATCAGTATTAATTTTAATACGAAAAATAGTTCAAGGTTAACGTTTTAAATACACGACGAAAAATGAATATCAAAATAGTATTTTTTTTTCTGTTATAGTCAGTCAGTACTTTTCTTATGAAACCATTTTATAATAATCTAACATGGAAAATTTTAAATACGTTTTTAAATTTTGTTAATTTATTTACTTTAATATTATATGGCAATTTTGATATTTACTTCCTTGATATATTTTTGTATTCTTTTTAAATGAATTAATTTTACAAGTATATTTAATAAAATATGCATGATTACTAGAAATACATGTATCTCAACATCTATTGCGCTTTTCCTTCTAGACTTGTCTTCCTTTCTCCCCTTTCTGCACTTACCGCCCTTATCATTTCTTTCCTGCACGCACTTCTACCTCTTTTTCTACGCTTTTCGAAATTTTTAGATTCGGGACCTTGAACCGTCGAGAAATGTAATAAATTTGGGATTTTGTTCAATATTAATGTGTGGAGGAAACGATTTTTGTTCGCCCAATTTCAAGCTTAATAAATGCTGTGCCTTTTGTCGAAATTTTCTGAAATTTTGCAGGGAAGTATATGTATTATGAAGAAATTATTCTGAAAATTTTAAAGAAAATCGGAATATTGATTCGAGAATTATGATCCTCCCAATTTCTTAATATCTCCCGAACCAATCTGAACGCTTATAAAAGTAATGGTAGCAATCATTGGGGATGAAAACAAACAATGCAAGCTGTTTTTTAACGAAAGATAAGGAATAGATATAGATATAGTTCCATAAGATATCTTATCTTCCATATCTTTCATTAAAAAGTTGAAATTTGTAGATCGAGGAAGCATCAAAATGATATCATAATGATCCAATTCGTCTTCTGTATAACAGGAAAAGATCCTCCCTTCTCTAATAAAATTCGATAATTTACAACAAGAGTATTCCCCTCCCCTCTGTTCCTCATCAAAAGTAGCAATTTAAGAATTTAGAAATAACTTTTGAATGTAATAGAATTTACAGGGTGGCCCAAAACTAAGTTAACTTTGCCGTGTTAATCCTAAATGAAACTAAAAATATACAGAATTTAATTAAGTATAATATTACAATATATTTAAACTACGATATTTAGTATTTCCCTTTAAGGAAACTTTCCTCCTTGCATAAGAATTAATTATTTGTATATTTTGTGTATTTAATTGCAGTTGGGGAAGAATTATTAAAAGGTCAGATTTCCTTTCAAATTCCACCAATAGGAAATGAGTTAGCAAAGAGTCAAGGGCACTTTCAGTCGAATCACTTTCCGAGTATAATACTTCTAGAAGAGTGCAGTAAACAATAAAATAACATAATTGTAAGCTTGTAAATTCATTTTAAACGTTAATACTCGTACGCATCACTACTAGAAAGGTTAGTTATTAAATTTATTTTATTTATTTTTATAACTCTCCCTGTAAATGCGACTATAACATTTAAAAAAGGGTGGACAAACTTTTGTAATTAATATTTCATTTTTACTTTCGTAAAAGAATTTTTTCTTTTAATAAAATAAGTAAAATATTTTCGTTGGTGGAAATTGCGCCATTTCTAATGTGATGCAATAAGCGCTAGTATATTTTTTTTTTAATATTACTAATATTTTAATATATAAAGTAATATAAGATTTTAATTTATGCTTCATTATAGACGTAGACATACTTGATGGAGCGTATTTTCCTTCTTTATAAAAAGTAAGAGGTCCAACATAAGGGAGTTTGTTCCACTTTCGAAAATTTCTAATCTTAAGGTGGTCACGATATGCGTTTTATTAATTCTGAACGAAAATAACACCGTTCGAAATGATAAAAAAAAACAAAAGAAAAGCGTTTACAACTGGTTTAAAACGTTTATTTTGTAACCAAACTTTGATACAATCGATTACAAAAGTTATTTTTGTTTTACAATATCCCGTGTTAGTTTTAAAAGGAAATTAAATTATTATAAACTCGTCTGATCGCTGGTATGCGCGGAAAATAAACGGTTAACTGACTTTTAGGCCACCCTTTATACCAGTCGAATTTTTAATGAATCGTGACATCAAATAACCGATTGGTTTTCTATAAAGCATGTTTTTTAAACCTTACTTGAACAATAGTTGTATTTACTTAATTATTTCTCAATTACTTGCAATTTCCTGTACAGAAAACAATAAAATATTTTTTATGACCTTTGTTTACTTTCAGCACAGTTCAAGAATGAAACTCGATTGTGTAGCTAGATTTTTCTCCTCCAGATTTAAACAACTTGGAGGATCCATTGCTGATAATCCGTCGTATTACGTCATTATACCCGTAGCCCTAACATTGATCCTTAGCACAGGATTGCAGAACATATACGAGAAAAATAATACAAAGTATCTGCTAGCACCCGATAACTGTAGGACCATTCGGGAGGAAGCCATAATAGGAAGGTACTTTGATGTGGAATACAATAACGACTCGAACCCTTGGAGACTCAACAGAGAACCCAGTGAGGGTTCCATTGTAATCACTGCTAAAGACGGAGGATCGATTTTTCGCCAGTCCGTCTTTGAAGAGGTCGTCAATCTCGATGGAATCATAAGAAACGTCACAGTACAATATAAGGGTGAGCGTTGGAAATATAAGGATCTGTGCGTTAAAGATGGAGGCAAGTGTTACAAAAATTCTGTACTTCTTCTAAGAGACAAAATTCCCCAAATTATTAGCGGAGATTATTCGTTTAAATACCCTTTACACGCCGATAGTGGGATATTTTCGTATACTTTTTATGGTTCGTCATTGGGAGGGGTTACTTTGGACGAAGAAGGAAGCGTTAAGGATGCAAAATCCTTACGACTCCTCTATTTTTTGAATGATGCATCGGAACTTAAGAGCGAACTGAGTAAAATGTGGCTGGACGAATTCCTCGAACTTCTTCGGGATACGGATTATCATCATATTGTGGTTGATAGATACTCGAGTGAATCTCAAGAGAAAGAACTGGTTAAAATGCTAAGAAGATTATTCCCGTTGTTAGCATTTTCTATATCCGTCTCTTTACTATTTTCTATAATTACTTGTTTAAAGGACAATTGGATCGTAAGCAAACCCTGGACGGGGATAATTGCTGCAACATCAGCAGGTATGGCTCTCGGATCTTCTTTCGGTCTAGTCATATATTTTGGAGTGCCACTTATCGCTGCCGTAGGATCCGCACCTTTTCTTATACTAGGTAAGAAATTTTTACTTTTTCACCTACTACCGGTGCCACGTATTTCCGGTCTTTGTCTCGATATATTTACAATAAGTATATGATAAATATCGACTATTAGAACACGTGTAACACGTAGTTGCATATCAAGGTAAATATGTATGCGCAATAATTCAAGGAGAGTGTCAATTTTTTCATGGTAAACACTGAATTCGCATTGAGTACAAAGGTGATTGCTTTATGACTTTCTTACAGTAACTATTAATGTATTCTAAGTACTATTATTTCGAGATAAACCATTGGATAAGAGCCAGACTTATTTATTCAGTAATTCATACCTACAATTAGTCGTGTAAATAAACTAACCTTACGAAACAGAAAATGAAGCTGGTTTTGTGCAATCGAAGCGAAGGAATTTCATATACTAAGAAACTTTTAATTGCAATTTTCATACCTTTCGATTAACCGAGAGTTCGCGAAGCAACTCCCGGTCAACTGACTTTTGGGCCAAGTATACTACTTATAATATAAATAATTAATCATGACTGGTTTTATTACTATTTTGAACCTTGGATCCTTAATCTGCGAGGTAAATGAGAGGTGGGAAAATTCTAGTTTATGTAAATAAATTAATATTGATATAACGGGTCTAACGATTGCGTGTTTAAGAAGTGATAACGATTACATTCCATTAAACAAATCAATAGGTAAAGAAACAGTCCATACAACTTTTTTGCTCCCATATACTATTAAATCAATTTTTTCTTTTTTTTTTAGTTTCAACTGTATAGAGTCGTTGTCAATGGGTGAAAATGGGTCAATGCTGTTATTTGTTTGCATTTAAAACGAGTTTACTTGATTTTATCATTGCAGGTATAGGAATGGATGACACTTTTGTCCTACTGGCAGCATGGAGGAGGACCGATTCTACAAAGAGTGTTAAAGAAAGATTATCGGAAGCGTACTCCGAATCGGCAGTGTCTATAACTATTACGTCACTGACTAACTTCATTGCCTTCATTTCCGGTGTAGCTACACCCTTTAGACTCATCAGAATATTCTGTATTTACGCCTCTACTGCAGTTTTATTTTCCTACATTTACCAGATAACTTTTGTAGGTGGTTGTATGGCTATTTGCGGACACCTAGAGAAAAAGCAAAGGCACGCTGTATTTGGTGTCCCCCTTAAAAAAGCCAACGGTGAGGAAATTTATTAAAAATTCTTAAGGTTTTAACCGGTTTAAGCTTTAATAAATGTATATTTACAGATGAAATGGGATGCTGTGTTCGCTTCTTCGCTACGAGCTCGACGTGGAACGACTCGTCCAAATCGATTTCGAAATTAAATTTCTGGGAAAAATATGCTAAAATTTTAACCCTTTGGCCCATTAAAGTATTGTCTCTGGTTATACTATTTACGTATTTGCCAATTGGATTTTGGGGTATAACCAAATTAGGATTTTTAACCAGCTTGAAGACCGGAACCGCTTACGATTCTTATTACATTTCGTACTACGACAACATTTACAAATATTTCAACCAATATCGTGATAGGATACAAATTGTGGTTCATCAAGAGATGGATTACGCCGATGAAAAAGTACAGAAACAAATCGAAAACCTTTTAACAGAAATAGAAAACACAGATTTCATAGCAGACTCGACTCTAACGGAATCGTGGTTGAGATATTTCTTGAAGTTCGTCAAGAGCAACGTCACTTCACCTTTAATTTCCAATTTTAACATGAGCAGCAGCCAAGATTTCATTTACGTTCTGAGAAATTTCTTCTTGAAGCATCCCGTTGCGAGGAGATTCACACGCGACATTGTGTTTAATAGTAACAATACAGCTATCGTAGCCAGCAGATTTCTGTGCCAAACTAATTACACAAATTCGTTAGGGGACAGTTATCACGGAATAAAAGAATTACGCGAAATAACCGACCGGACACCCTTTTCTGTTTTCGCTTACCACTTTCTAAATTTTTACTCGGACGAGATCGAAGTGAAGACCGGAATCACAATCCAAATTTTATGCTCCGTGGCCATTGTTATAACAGTGGTGTGCTTTTTATTTATTCCGAACATAATAACGACGTTAGTAGTAACTTGCACTGTTATATCTATAGAAGCGAGCGTTTTGGGTTACATGGCTCTGTGGGATGTAGAAGTAGGACCCGTTTCTATCATGATTTTAACCATGTGTGCCGGATTTTCGGTGGATTATTCAGCCCACATGTCGTACATTTATCAATTAACCGAAAACGATAACCCAAACGAGCGTATGGTAATGGCAATTTCGGCTATAGGAATGGCTATCTTCCAAGGAAGCGTCAGCACCATCCTCTGTATATTGCCATTAGCTATACCCATAGCTTACATTTATCTTTCGGCATTTAAAATTATATTTTTAGTCATTTTATTTTCTGCAATACACAGTTTATTTTTCCTACCCATATTATTATCCTTATTCGATTCCCTACTCAAGAAGTTCAAAGGTAAAACCGTGAAATTAGAGATTAGCGAAGAGATGCGGAAAAATGGTAATGTTAATCACAGCTTCGTAGGCGAAGATGATAAAAACGCTAGTAAACTTATAAATTCCAACAACATGACTGTTCCTAATTCTAATCACCCGTATTTTGTTCCGTATTCCTTACAGAATGAAAAGAATAAGTTGTAAGTGATCATCACTCACAATTTATTATATAAACATACGCTCAATATCTTTATACAAATTAACGGGTTTATACAATAATGTAACCACGTATCGTGACAATATCGGTGATTGTATTTATATAACTTACATTTCTTATAATATTTTCTGTTACGTTAATCGCGAAATTGTATTTTTCTCTTAGTGTACGACCATAACTTATAGATTTTTCCTACTGGAATATATGTTTATTCACGAATCTAGTTACAATTCCTTGTAGTCAATTGTTATCAGATAAATAAATTGTGTGTAATTAATAAAGAAATCAGATCCAATAATTAGGAAATAATTTCGTATAGCCAGAGAGACTTCAAAGTGTTGTTAAAAGTGTTTTGAAATAGTGTAAATTATAATAAAGTAGAGGTAAATTGGACTAGAGCAATTTCCATGTCTGATTTTTATACTAATAGAAATAAAAATTTTATACATATTTAATAATATCCTTCGAATTTCCTCCTTATAGACATTCGAAATTGCGTGTTTAAGGTTTTTTTTCAAATTATAATGATTTTGTACAAGGACGTTACATACATTAAATTAATAACGTTATTTTATATTTTATTCCTGTTGTATGAATGCTAAACATAAATTTAAATCTTGATTTAATGAACGTTTTCTTGGAATATAATAGGTTTTAATTATGTATATTATAGTATTAAAAAATTCTACATTATTTCTCTTTTATACTTCTATAATTTATCAAATTATAATATTAAAATATTTACAAAAATAAATTTGAAGTTGAATTTTCCTATACAAAATTTAAATAACTTTTCCTGTCTAATTTAATATAAACTTATTTGCTATTTTATCTTTCCGTGTACCATACCAAATATATTTATTTATTTATTCGGAAAACGTGCTTAAAATAACTCGTTTAAAACATTAAAATAGATATTTAATAATTTTATTTAAACGTCAAAACAAATTAATATTAAAGGCGTCATGCCATAAATGTCTTTGTTGCTAAAGAATGTGGTGAGATCCTCTACCACTGGTATAGTGTGGCATTATAGCAAAAGCTATCAATATAATGCTTTACTTTTTCAATTGTAGGGGGTGTATGATATTACCAGCAGCAATTGCAACTAAACACACGCGTTCAGGATATATTCAGAACACCAGGAGTCATTCGGTATTGAATGGAATGGTCAAAGGTACCTAGGAACCCATTGTAACTCTCCGTCTTTCTTTCTCCGGCAACATAGCAATCCGAATAATAATAATAAATTAGGTTATTTCTGTCACCTTTTCACATTTTTATGGAATTTGTTGGTTCTCCATTCGAATTTAGGTAACGCAATACTCTCACCGAGGCACGTGAAAGTCCAACAAATGGTGGAACCTCACACTGATGTCTGAAGAGTAATTCGGTATAGGCCTATATATCCTTGTATTGATGTGATTAGAATATGTACCAATATAATATACAAATAGAATTATACAAAATACAAGAACTAGAGTAAAGAAAAGCGCAACTCTCTCGAGCAGCCAGGGGTGCAGAATATTTTCGAAGCTCAAAATTTTCCAGGAAATTGTTGCATACAAGATAAAACAATTTACAAATCGATTAATAATTATTAGTGTTTGGTTTGAAAAAATTTGTCACAAAACTCATAAACTAACGTAAACATTTTTTTAAATTAAAATAAAACTAATTTAAGCACCAGTCCTACTGTAGGATGACACTTACAATTATAAACTTCACTTAATACGTTCATTAATATAAATACAATTGAAGTTGATTCCATTAAGGACTCAATTTTAGCAAGGAGGCTCTAACTAATGGACTTTTTGACCCCCAATTACAACAAAATGCATTATTTTCTTTCTTTTATTCTGAAAAGTTGTCAAGAAATATCCAATCTTTTGCAAAAAATATAAGCTTTTTTAGGTGTTATTATAGCTGAGCCTATGCCTGTAGTCTAAAAGTCCACATAACTTTAATGGAAAATTCAGAAAGGAAACCTCGCCCAGTCGTTGCATGCAATTATGAAATTTTTGCACGTGTACTCACTACACATACAAATATTTCATAATTGCATGCAACGATTGGGCGAGGATGTACTGTACAGTACAAGTTTCTTGTATCGGCTAATTGGGCATGAGCTTCTAGGTTATATCGGCCCGTAGTAAAATGTGACGTAATTGTCATGTAACGTAATTGTCATGTAGTTGTATACGACCGAACTCTGAGTGTTGAGGAAACGGTACCGCTTGGCCACTGGTGGGCCACAGTACAAGTATACAGTACATTATCACATTGCAGCGATCCCTAGCGCCAGAATTCTGTGGGAAATACAGAAAGAAAGCCATTGCTCTCCTTGATCGCCTCAGATATCAGCCTACTGCTCTGGGGACTGAAAAAACGAATCCAGACAAGTCTGAAATATCCTAGAGGTCCGTCGGGAGAGGTGGTCTGTGTCGAATACATCAAAGCTCATCCCTCACTAACCGGCTGCTTCATTTTGAGCCTAGCCTTACTCATAATGGATTTGATGAAAAAACCATTTTAGTACCCATAGGACAGAAAGTCCAATAGAAAAGGTATCAAGATTCAGACTCATAATTTTGATGTGTTGCAAGAAGACAATAAGAGAAAACCTATGTTATTAATAGAAGACTAATTGTACTTTATCCATTTGATATCTTAATTACCATTCAAATTATGGGCCTGACAAGGAGCTACAAAGTGGGAGGAATAGACTAGTCAAATTACCAATCAAACTGGTAGGAGCAAACGTAATACTAAGGACGAAGAGGAAAGGAAAGGACCTTATTTGAATAATGAACGTAACTGCTCGACCGGGTATCATACTGAAGAGATAATAATGCTGTGCTAATGCTGTGCATAATGCTGTGGGAACCTTTTATAGAGATAGAAGAATTGGAGGAAAACGGAAAATTAGAATGAGAGATGAAATAACGGAAAAGGAACTCAGTCAACTTCAGTTGGTTTGAAATAGGGAAGGATAAGCCTTATTATATAAATATAAACATATACAAAATATAAACATATATAAATATAAACACATATAAACACATATAACAAATATTTACTACGAACGATTTCGACCCATGACGATATGATTACAACATAAGATTAACACCCGGGGTCATCTATCCATTTACCTATCTCCTAATTAAATTTCGCACGCGCAAACTGCCCTACGAACAGCAGAATTAACGATTTGTTCGAACACACGAATTTATCAGCATTACTTGTGGAAAAATCGGCAAAAGCTTTACATTTGTAGTAGACTTACTCAAACGTAAAGCTAATTTCCTCTAATTCCTACCTCCGAAAAATTTTTAAAAATGGAAACAATAAGCGCATAAATCAATCGAAATATACTATTGTATACAGTATTTTAAATTACAGGTTGGCCTTGTCTATTGATATAAAAAATCGACGAAAATGGATGAGGTTATCGAAAATAGAGAACAATGTGTAGTTAATACAAGTATTTAAATTATCAATTGACAATTTTCTAAATCAATATTCAAAATGCTGAAATATATATATATATTTAAAAAAATACAAGTGTTCTTTTACGAATTTTTCATACATTTTAACGGTATCAAATGATATTAAATATAAATGTATATTTGTATATGAGGTCATAAAAAACAACAAGGTATAAACTATCAGTTTTTGTTGTTTATGTTTAACGTAAAGAAATTGTTTAAATGCAAGAGGAAAAAGTTCTTAAAATTTGAATATTTCTCTTTCTTTCCACATAGAACTTCTATACATTTTAATTATTCGTATTGTAATGTCATCGGGTACAGAAGCTGCCCAGAAGTCTTGACACTTTCTCCCAATTTGACACGTGAACATTCAATCACCCAGGCAAAAGTAGTGCTTCCGCACCGATAATTTTAACAAGTAACAGCAATGGCGTAATTTTATTTTATCATTTTATAATCTTTCGTTCAAACTCCCGTATTTAATTATATTTCTCTGTTACAATGTATTTTATCATTGCTTTAGTTTCAACGTGTGTATATATAATGTGTTAGTGTACATGCTTATGCTTTGTTTTCCACAGAAATTTTTGAACTAATAAATCTCGAACTGGATCTTCTGAAGAGATTTTGAACAAATAAATTTTATTTATTTACTATTTTTTATTGAAGTAAGCTTACTTGGAAGAGTAAGTAAATAAACTTGTATAATTATAATATTATTATTTACTATTTTATCTTATACATTTTCTTATGGCCCTTTGTTAGTTCCAATTTGTACCGCTAAATCTAAAGAGTAATTGATTATTTGGATTCGGTTAAGCAAAAATATTTATCATTTATTATATAAACGCTTATTTTATGTAAAAAAAATTATTGTTTCGGCTTATTTCACAGTATAAATTCAAAAACAAAAGTGTTTTGGTAAATAAAATCTAGCTTTCATTTTCAGATTTGTAGCAATAACAACCTGTTATAAATTTATCGTTTTCTTTGTTGTTGGCCTGATTTCCAGCAGGTTATACATTAGATTCTTTCCATTTTATTCATTTACAACACTGTAATTGAGTCACAACTGTAAAAACAAATTTTTTTTATTTGTTAAAGAGTAAATTCCCCACTAGTTCAATTTTATTACCGGCAACTGACTATGGTGGGAATAACGAAATCCTTCTACTTACAACATGATAAATGACTTTCGAACTTAATTCTTAAATAGATCTATGAATTAATTAATTTTTTATTCTATTTAGCGATCGAACGGTTCGTTAAACACTAGAAGAAATAAACCAAATCGCTTCGAAGGTTAAAGGAAATGATGCAAGGTCACGACTTTTAATTGTGTAACTAGTTCTGTACAACCTTCAACTGGAGTGAATGGGCTCACTGAACTATAATAACCTTTATTTCGGCCGCGTTTAGCTGTATCTATTCCGAGGCGCTACCTTCATTTGTCCTTAATCTGTAGGTAGTAATACCTGTATCCAGACAACGTTACTCCAATGAACGAACACAGAAAATATGAATATTTCTATTCTGACTAGGTAGGGTCTCGAGTGGCAATTCGATCTCTGGCCATAAACCAAAACAATCGTTGCAATAACCTGGAAGTTTCAAATGCAGTAAACTCAATATATCCAAGTCACGGGCTCACGCAGAAAATTTTCCAAATACGAACAACAGGGAGACAATTACATCAATAAATTTTTATTTAATTAATTAAATTTGAAGGTTTTATCACAAGTAGATTATGGAATACAGTGTTACAACAATACAACAAATTTGTGTAATGCGTGCATAATGCTAGCTCTCAAAATTTTTTCCACTCAATATATAGGGTTCTTTTTCTTCTTCTTTTTGACTCTTTCTGCTCTGTGAGCACTAAGAAAGTTTTTTATCAAGCCC